CAAAAAAACAGGATCCTTCACACAGGAGGAAAAAAAAAGTATTATTGCTGTTTTATCTTGATTTGGAAACCAAGTGTTCTGGCTCATCACCAGCATTAGACTTCTGCTCTTTTATGCTTCAGCCTCTGGAAAGTCCAGCCTTGGACTGAGGCCACTGGGTAATAACTGGAGGCTGCCATTGATCCAGAAAACAGGAGGAGCTGACATAATGGCAGGGCTAGAGCTAACCAGACTAAATGAACCTCTGTTCCTCAGTCGTGACTTGGAGGGAGCCATGGAAAGAGCTAGCAGATAGTCCAGTCTCATGCTGCAATCAGGGCAGGCTGAACTGAATATCAAATGTTGGCTTTAAGCTGGGTGATGTGTTTTCCCAAAAATCACATTTCTCACTAAGAGCATTGGTTGTAGGATATTCTTACATTTCAAACATTCCTTGTTCCAAGGCGAGTAACTTTACCTCATTTAAATTTACAAATTACAAGTAATACCTATATGTTGTCTGACCCCGCTTATTCCACTTGGTTCCTCTTGTGTATATAAACTCTGAATACTTTATGTAACCCAAAAAAAAAAAAAATTAAATGCTTTAGCAATTTATCTTGCTTTGGTTATTTTAGACTAACTGAACTAAGCTGTCAATATATTTAGCTCTTACATTGGCAATGGCAGAGCTATAATGAAGAAGACTACATATGCAGCAGGATTGCAGGATTGCCAACAACTGTATTTGCTCTTGTCATTTGACAGAAAATTAAGAATTTTTACAATAGGCAAGCTGTGCAGCTCTGATTAGTTATATCCAGTTATCTTGAATAATCTAAGCCTGCTTAGAAAATAGAGACTTTTAAGATTGCTGGTTTCCAGACCTCTAGCTTCATAGTAGTGGAACTCAGTAACACACCACCATTTCCATTTCAGTGACACTGGTACCATTTTGTTGAGATCTTCTTGTGTCTTATGGGGGAGTTTTTCTGAAACTGTTTAATTTTGTGTTTCCTTAAATTTGAACACTCAGCTCCTGATCTCAGAACCACTGGAATCCATCAATCTTTTACTACATCCCCCAGGTGTAATTGGGTCTATGTCAGCCTGCTGTGAGCAGACTACATGATAACTACATGAATATTATGCAGAGCAAACTTAATTAAAGGGTGTGAGTAAAGTGGCGTGTCTAATATCCTGTGATACATACCACAGTTAGACTAATGTGGTCAAAATACATCCACTTTTTAATAACTTGTCATGAATGCCCTGGGCTTGGCTGTGATAGAGTTAATTTTCTTCTTAGCAGTTGGTACAGTGCAGTATTTTGGATTTAGTATGAGAATAATGTTGATAAAACACTGATGTTTTAGATGTTGCTACATATTGTTTACCCTAAATCAAGGATTTCCAGTGTCTCATGCTCTGCCAGTGAGCAGGAACATGGGAATTTAGGGGGTAGCATGGCCAAACCAGCTGACCTGAACTAGCCAAAGTGATACCCCATACCAGAGAAGGTCATGCTCAGTCTATAAACTGGGGGGGGATTTGGCAGGAGCCACCAGTCACTGCTTGGGGTAGACTGGGTATTGATCAGTGGATAGTGAGCAACTGTGTTGTGCATCACTTGTCTTTCTTGGGTTTTATCCTCTCTCTCTTTTTCATTACAATTATTATTACTATTATTACTACTATTATCATTAGTAGTATTAGTATATTTTATTTTGTTTGAATTATTAACCTGTTCTTATCTCAACCCATAAGTTTTACTTGTTTTTCCTATCCTACTCCCCACTGGGAGATGGGTGTGTGTGAGCCAGCAGCTTCATGGCAGCTCAGCTGACAGCTGGGGTTAAACCACCACAAAGCAGTATATAGGTTTTTTCCACTGATGCAATTTCTACTACCAAGTTGAGCCAGTTGGCCCATTTAGGCCCGTTTTTGATCACTATGGATCTATGGTCTATGAATCAGCTGATTAATTATTACCACTGCCAACACTACCCATTTTGCCAGTGGGCTGGGTATCTGCACAGTTGTGAGCAATCAGAGAGGACATTGAGGCAGAGTATGATCTTCCCTAGAATGAACTCATGTTTTGTGGAAGCTCCATGTCAATTTTTTTCCTTCTCCATTCCCATTTAATATAATTCTTGAGCTCAGAGGACATCCAAACCATAGGCTCTATTAGTCTTTTTCATTATAGCCTTGCCAGTGACCAGCACCCTGGAAAGTGTTCTGTGTAGTTTCTAGGAAGGTAACGGTGTTTAAAGAAGTCACAGCACTTTATCCTGATGGTGTTTGTTCTCTGTGTTGAGAATTTTTGCTGTTGATTGGCTCAGTATTATTAAACAATGCTCAAGTCTTTTATTCTCTGGAAGGGACAGTAAATGTGTTTATTTTTAAAAATATCTTGAATTGCTGTAAGAAGTGCTGGGGGCAAGTCCAGTCTCAGAGAACATTCATCGACTTTATTCTCATGTGCCACTGTTAAGGGCATCTGTGCTACTTAATAGCTCTTGTTACCTTAAAATAAGGTAGGTAGTTTCCGCCACATTTCTTCCCAAGGCCAGAGTTTTTCCCATATTGTTCATATGATAGTAATAATCCATCAAAATTAATTTCAATTATAGCACTGCTTTTTTGCTGCTCTCTTTCTCATGGCAAGCCTTCCTGCAGAATTCTGTCAGTTTCTTTTATATAATTTATTCCCCCAAATATACTTAAGAAGGGGGTTTTAATGTCCCATACTGAAAATCATTATTTTTCTGAGGCAGCTTTCCCTGTCTTTATATTGCCAGAGAGAGATACACAAAAGCATTTTATAATTTATTGAACATTGGAACTAATCTGAATAGTCCTCCTTCCATTGCACTGCTCATCTGAGCTCAGCAACCATCAGAGAAATGATGGTGGTCTTGAACATGAGCTGCTATGTTTTTCCAGTTGACAGCTTTTGAGTGGAGGCACAGTTGGCCTAATACCTCTTTTTCTGGGCAGAGTTTTTACATGCAATGCAACACATACAACCTGTGGTTGAAGAGTAATGTAACCATTCTTAGGTATTTCATCCTTACACAAACATCTTTCAACACGGCTGTTCTGTACAAGACGACACTTGGATGGTTTCAAACAGATCTGCTATTGTGATTTTGATTATGGCCCAGCCGAGGGCTTTGATCAGCACAGTAGTCAAAAAGGCTGCTGGCAGAATGGAAGAGTAATTTTTTTTTAAAAATGCTCCAAAAATAAAAGGCTGCAAATCCAAATTTAATCTTCTAGGCCCCGAGCTCCCCTCAATAATTCCCAGTAACAACCACACATCTTGAAGAAATAACATTACATATTAACACATTAATCAGGAATACTATCATATTCCATTTGTAAATCATTTTACACCTTGCAATCCTATTCCCACCTTCAAATCTCTACTGAGTTGCAAAGCACAATGAAGAAAAGACACTGCCTCCTCCTGTGTGCTCACTTATTAGAATGGGGCTCATTCCTTGGCTGTGGCACAAATGATAATGTGCCCCTCAAGCTCCCTCTTGTAATTTTGCCACTGGTTTACCTCAAGAGGAATTGTGTAAGACTGGAGGGGAAAGCTCCTTTGCAATCATACAGTGAATATGGGAAGTGCCCATAAGACAGTGAAGAGCTGGGTGAGTGCAGCCTGTGGGATGATGCAGTGTGACCTCAAGCAGGGAGCAGAAGGCAACTAGTTCCTGCTAAACCCTGCACATATTCAACAGCTTCTGGTGTGCCCATGTGTGTTAAAACCACCATGAAAGTCCTAGGGAAGAAAGGGATGTCATTCATGTAATTACACCCATAACTTAAACCAGCATCTGGCCCCGATAATGAAACCATTTGCCCACTGTGAGCTATAGAGTGTCTTTTCCTTCTGGGTCTTGAATTGAGGCTAGAGCAAAGCCACACTGCTGTGGGAGCAGAGCTGAGGAGTTTCTGCTACATGTTGCCTGCTGTTCCTCCAGGGTAGTCAGGATCAAGCCCTAGTCCCAGAGGAAGACAGGCAGCAAAGCTTCTCTTATGGTGAGTCTTCTGCATGAGGCAGAAGAGATCTCTAGACTCAGCTCTCTCACAAGCCACTAGGGTATCTGTCAGGCTTTTTCTCTTGGTTTCATTGTGCCTGTGACCACATCTCACTTACCATTTGAAAGAAAAAGCCACGTAGTCCTTTGCCTGGGACAGAGACTACTCCTGCAATGCCCCACGGCCTGTTTGCTGCTGCAGAAAGCCCTCCCTGACTCAGTGACTTATTAGCAGCCAGGACTTTGCGGGTGACTGTTCACACGCCAGCTACTCCCTGCAGCTGCCTCAGGAATTGTCTGCTTGCTTGGGGCTGAAACAAGAGTGTCAAGTTTAAGTAGCCTCTGCTTAGTCCCCACATTCACATGGAGCAAATCATGAGAGGCAGCCTAGCCTGTGGAACGTGCCCATGGCATGTGCTTGCATTTGCTAACATGACTGGTCCTGAAGAGGCTTTGAAACACTTTGGGGGCAGTGAGGGAGGAGGCATTCACACTTGTGCTGCTCCTGCACTTTTTCGGTCGAGAAAGATTTCACCATAGAGCATGTAACAGAGCAGGAGAAAGCACTGGTCCTTTCAAGTATTTTTGCAATACATTAATGTGATTCTTAGTGAGAAGTCTTCTCCTTACTTGACCTATTGTGCCCCAATGCATTCCATTTTACAAGGTGCATCTCTTGTGAGCTGGCAAGCAGCCCAATGTTGTGGCTTGAAAATCTTCACAGGTGCCTTCAGGCTACTCCTCTCCCCTCCTCCATCTGCTTGAGGGGATTAAGACCAGGCCGGGAGGGAGGGAGGGAGGTGGAAATGACCACAGAGAAGAGAGGCAGCACAGCTGAAGAAGGCAGAGCTTGAAGCCAGGCAAGAGAAAGGGGAATACAAAGGCAGAAATAAGAGGGTCAAACAGAAGTGTTTTGAGAAAGGAGAGAGGAGGTAGAAATAAGAAGTGATCCTTTCTAATCTGCAGGTTCCCCAGGCCAGGAACTTTACTTGCCTCTGTGACTGCATGCTGTTCTTCTCAGATATTGTGAGTACTGCTGTGTCATATAGACTTCTGACAATGGTGGTGGGAACCAGGGGGCTGGATGTTGCCGCAGTACTTGGTAGTTTCTCTTTGCTAGAGACAGGGTGAGATGCAGATGCTATGCAAAGTCCTTTGCATTGCTAGACCTGTTGAGAATTTTCTCTCAGGAAAAAGCTGTTGCCTACAGCTAAGGCATGGAAAGACAGTATGAGTGTGTCCTTTGGAAAGAGAGGTTAACAATTATAGAGGAAAGGAAAACATATATAATGAGATAATGTGTGTCACCTTAAAAATGCGGAGTTGCTAAGGTACTGTTGTTCTGAGGAGGGTTCATGACCTTTACAGATCATAGTCTTCATCCTCAGCCCTCTTCCCAAATTTATGTATATACTCCTGCCCTGTATTCAGCAAGCTAAATGAATGAATGAATGAATCAATGAATGAAAAAAATAGTTAATATGTGGCATGAAATGCTAACCTAAAACTTTCATAAATGGATTCCAGTCTATAACGGTCCAGTCAAGAAACTGTAGCAGCTTTACAAATCAAGTGATACTAGACTTGGGCAAGCCAAGTGATCAAAGGTACAGCCAAGCCATAGTGAAACAAGCCAAAAAATCAGACATCGGCCAACAAGGCTGACTAAATATGTAAAGCATGAAAAAAAAAATAAAACACATAATAGATATGCAAGATCACTGTGGCCGCCAGGAAAAGGTGCCAAAATATCCCTGCTGGCTTTGGTTCTCTTGGCCTGGATCTACAAGTGGATGCTGAGCTGAGCCCAAACAAGGCATCAAGCATGAGTCTGGCCTGCTCCTTCTTTGGCTCAACAGCTCATCCTTGACAGAATGTGTGAGCTGGGTTCACTATGGAGATTGGCTTGTCCACAGGGAAAAAAGCAGAAAAGCCTGACCTGATCTCCCCTCACTGCCCCTGAAATGAGGCCACCTTTCAAGGTTTCATCAAGATCACTTCCACTGATGTTATAACACTAATTTCTGTTTCTGGTTTTCTGCTGTGATCTGACTCCTGAGAGCTAATGCTCCTGAAAGCAGCCAGGTCAGCTTTCATTTGTGGTTCCTTCTCCCCTGCACAAAACATCATAGGTTTAGAGAGGTGTGGAATGTATGGTGAATGCTTCCAAAGGCCGAACGTACTCCAAATATCACATTGACACACAGGCGTTTCATTAGTGTTTTTAATTGCTTTAATGAGATTCTTCATCAAGGTCTATAGATGGCAGTAGGCTGGTTTTCTCTGAGGTATTTTTCTCAAATACTTATGCAGTAGGGCATGTGCTTTTCTCTACATAAGCTTGGATCCTCTGCAGGGTCAACCCACACTAAAAGTGGTAACTAGATGCCATTCTCCAATGACTTGGGTCAAGGGTTAGGGAGGTACTCAGGGTATTTCACTACTGTATACAAAACTATTGAGCAGGTGCTTAACCATGAATACCAACAAGTAAAGAAATTTCCTATATATCAACAGAAAAGCTGAAAAGCAACACTACAATATGACAGCTTTTGATACTTACCTGTCTCTGGAGTCTCTCAGCTTTGTGCTCCTTATATTTACAATGGCTTTTGGCGAGAGAGATAAGTGACTTAAAAATAGATAAGAGTAAAAAAATATCTGAATCAGCAGTGAAATGTTCTATGGAGTCTTTCCGTTGCCACCAGTGGCTTTTTGGACCAAGGCTTTCCTGAACACTTTAAAAAAAAAAAAAAAAAAAAAAAGTATTCATTCAGATTTGATGCTGATATGCAAAACAAATGTTAAAGTTATTAGGATTACTTAAATGATAATTGTTTTTCTTCAGGGCAAAACAGTAATTTGAAGAAACCAGAACCATGACTGATCTTTTGGTTTGTAATTACCTTTATAGATGCACAATTGCATATTTGGCTCTGGCAATTGAAATTGTTCTATTTGCTTTTCTTTGTGCATGTTGTCTGTAATTACTGCATCTGAGCACAGAAGATGCTCTGTAGCTGTTTTCTGAGACCAAAAGGATGATGGAGCCTGTGGTTTAGTTGCTGGATAATTTCAAAGGCATTTTGAATAAAACAAAATTCCTAAGGAATTGCCTGCTTTGTTTAGTTACTTTTATTCTTCTTCTCTCTTTTTTTTTATTTTTATTTTTTTGGTGTTCTTAAGGGTGTGGAGTGGGAGGAGAGATGACAAGACCATATGGGCTTATTTACTATTCACAGAGGAGTTCAAGCACTTCTGTGCCTGCTCTAAGTATTGTGGAATGTTGCTAACAATTGTAAATAATTTTATGCTTATTTTGCAACATGCTTGAACTGCATGACTGAAACCCTTGGTCGTTTTGCTATTGTCATGAATAGATGAAAACAGATCTTAAACAAAAATGTGATGCTGAAGTGTACTTCCCCTTTCTTAAATCTGCAGATAGGTTCATTGGTGCCCTTCTCTGATTTTTGGAAAACAAAGGGCTGGATGCGAAGAACTGGTCAAAACATGAGGATTATGACTAAGGACAGTAAGCATGATTGTACCATATTTTCATTTCCCCTGTACAAAGGACAGAGAACTTTGTTCTGTGATCTGTCTCTGCACGAAACACATACAGCATATAATAAATTTGTTGATTGGCATACGTGCTCATATATTTTGGTTTTTATTTGTTTAATTAGAAAGGTCCCTTTACAGCATTCTGGCATAGTAAAACAACTCCAACACAGACATAACTTTCAAGGACCCCTGTCTGATGTCTAGACTTCTATCATATACACACACGCATTCTTGTATATAAGAGAAGTGCTATGGGCTACAACCTTGCCCATTTGGCAGAAGAGGACTCTTTTCCATAAAACTAAAGGTTATATGTGCTGCTTTCAGCCAGTGGAATAAATGCCTGCAGGAACTGAGGTTCTGCACAGACTTAGCACTCTCTGCCTGCCTCCTGCAAGTGCAAGGTGACTTTTTCAGCCTTGTCTTCTGTAGTATAGATATGCATCAACATACATAACCACAATTTAAAGTAACCCCTCAAAAATAATACAACCCAATGAACTTCACTGCTCATGCCTGTCTTCCCTGAGGAATGGTGAACAAACAGATGACGCGTGCCAAATCTTAGTCACATGCGAAGCTTTCAGAAAATCCTCAAAAGCTATGGTAAAGTGTTATATTGGAACATGAACACAAAAGGAGGAAATATTCCCTACTGCTTCTTGCTGACAGTAAACGTAAACTTTTGGTCAGGACTTAGGCATTTCTTCGCTGGCATCTCCCTCTTAAAAGCTAATAATTTTGGTTACATACTTTATTTTCTAATACACACCTCTCCTTTCATGATGGTCAAATGGGATATAAGAGGGCAAGGGCACACTCCAAGTTTTCTCCAGTGAGCTATGAGAATCTGGTCCCAGAACTGAGTTCAACTGAATCAGACATGAGCCTCATTAACCTTGCTATTCATCATAAGCAGTTCCATGGGATCAGTTGTGGTTGTTGTTTCTTCAAGAAATTTGTTTTTGCAGAAGAATTTTTAGTTTCTCTTACCTCTTCACCTGGACCTTGCTTTGAGGGACACCATACCTGAAGGAAGCAAGGAAAGTGAGATGTACAACCTAGAGCTATCACACTTCCATTTCTACCCTGCACTTTGTCTCCCTTGATATTTTGTCAATTTAGAGAATTTTCAGGTGCATTCAAAATTCTGAGGAGACATTTGAAAACCCTGAGACAACAAAGATGTGATAAAGGGAAGTTCTGTGCAGCCACAGACTGCATTTATTTCTCCCTGAAAGGTGCCTCTTTGGTGCTGTGGCAGGTGGAGAACCCCAGGCAGATGGAGCTGGGTGGAGATGCTCCAGAGAATAAGCCAGGGGATGAGTGAGGCTGGGGTGCCAGCCTTCACCACAGCCAGAGACAGGGGAAACAACTCGAGGGAAAGATGGGAATTTTCCCTGTGTTGTACCTCAGTAGTATCTGGCTCTGTGTTATCAGTGAAGCTTCAAATAGCTTATCTTTTGCCTGCATACATATGTGTTTTTCCTTCTTGCCAGCCCAACATTTCTTCATTTGAATGTGTGAATAATAATCCCCTGAGTAGATATGGGTAATATAAAATCCCCAAATATTCGGGGAAAGATCTTATCTTTTGTTGCATAGAAAGATGTCTGCAGTCTGGCTTCAATAAAGGAATAACTTAAAAGGCAGAAAAATAAGCAGCAGAACATCAGCTCTCACTTCAGTGTGTAAACTTTGGAAAGGCCACCTGTCAGATCCCTGGTGGAAAGCCGCATTTTGTTTGGCATCTGGCTGATTGCCATGATGAAATGTTGAAGTGTTTGGAAACCTGTGGAACTTTCTTCAAAAGGCACACTTCCCCTCCCCCTTTCTCTAAATAATTAAATCTTAAATGTTCTGGCTTGCAGTTAAGAAAAGATAAAACACAACGGCAGGATTCTTTCAAACACACTAGCTAATAATGTGGGGGCCTTTCGTGTTATTTATTTTAGCTTTCCCCTCAAGAATTACAAAAGAAATTGCCTCAGTATCACCTTAACTTTTCATCCCAGGCAGTCACTGATTCTGATCTTGCTAACAGTGAAGTAAATCTGAAGTAACTCTGCTGAAATGTGACCTACTTGCAGAGGGCTGCCTATTTATTCCAGTGCAAGACTGGCATGCAAACACAACTGTGATCTTTTAAGCCTTATCCTGTCATGAAGTGTATCAGTCACTAGAAGCTGCTCCAGATTCAGGAGACTCGCAAACCACTCCTGATTTAGCCATTATGACTAAACAATGTCAGAAAACAGAATGAGACCCACAAACGTCATCTGGGTGACATCTTGTCCTGTGCAAAGATAAAAATTTCATGTGAAGTCTGTTTGACAGTAGGCATATTTTGCTCTGATCACTCATTTTGACTGTTTTCCCCAGCAATACATTGTCTTTCAGAGTCCTGCTGGAAGCAAGTAATTTTATGATTCCAGCACTTTTAGGAATGCAAAGCTCCAGATTAACACCATCTGTTGTTTGAAGATAAAAGTAGAGACACTGTTGTTAGTGGCTAGTTCTTTTTGTAATTGCTGTTCTTTTAACAAGCACACATTACAAAGTTACTCTTTCCCCAGTAGATGTATATGGGACTGCCGACAAGAGGATATATGCTCTTGAGAAGTTGAACCCAAATTTTCTCACAACTACATGTGTTATTTAAGAAAAAAAAAAAAAAAAATTGGTTTTATTCTCTGAAGTTTCTTGTTGGCTTTAGTGCTCACAGGCACTAGAGAATGGAGGGCCTACAGTCACCCCTGGCCTTGATGCACAGACTGGGCTGCCAACATTCAACATTCTCCCACTAACATATCTTAAAGCAAAGCATCAGAAGTCAGACTGCAGTGTTTCTGCCAGAATGGTAGTGCCTACAGATGACACCATGTGCTGCTGAAACATCCCCCACCATTTTCCTGCATGTGTTATGCACACCATGTAAGGGGGCAAGTGTTGATCCTTCTAGGGATCTAACTCGTTGTCTTGCATGTGGGAGCTGGAAGAGTTCAAGGACAAGTCAGCTCAGTGATCTTGTCTTGCATGCTGGTTAGTAGACCTAAAGAGGGAAATGAATTTGCCACAGGTAAAGGAGCACTGCCAGAACCAGGAACACAACTGTAACTGTGCACTGGCAGCGTTTTGGCCTAAACTCAAAAAGAAACCTGTCAAAGGCTTCCATACACTGCCCAGCTACAGCTGGGAATTACCACAGGACAAGGACCAAAAGGCATTTTGGGTGCAAGCACACAGTTCAGACAGTAAGGCAGTTTAGTTTACCCTATAGCTGTGCTGTGCTTGTTGGCCTCAGGGCAAAGAGCAGCTGAGCAGAGACGGCTCATTTCATTCACCACCTTGGGACAAGCCCAGCACCCAATGACTGGATGCCTGTTACAGGGTCACTTTTGGGATGCATGATGTATTTCCTGCTGGATCCCATGACGTACAAGTCAGGCTCGCTGCCATTATCCCTTGACTCTGGCACAACCTAGTTTAGTAACAATATCAGTATTATTTGAGACGCAGGCAGTTGAAGATACAGGTAATCAGATGGTAATCACTAAATTCAGCTTGCAGGAAATGGTGTTGTCTTTACTGACGCATGCTGAATTTCATCCAGGAATTTTGGGGTCCTTAACAAACCCTGTCTCATATCTTTTGATGAAAATCTGGAAGTTTTATATTTTAATATCTAAGCTTAAATATTTTTTCTGTGCTTTTAGTCAGTACAGTGGTTTAAAGAGGAGTTTTGTGCAAATAAATAGAAGTGAGAAAGTCCTCTAGGACAGGACTGGTCTTCAATATTTCAAAACTGGTGACAGTGTCATTATTTTAAAAAATCCAGCATATTTCATGGCTCCAACATTTAAAATATTTTAAATATTTTTGCATTACAAAACTAAATCAGGAGAAAAAAATGGTACACATCTATAATCACGAGCATATTTTTCTGATGTATTACAAAAAACCAAAAAACCACTGGAATACAGAAAACACTGAAAAAGGTTTCACTTTAGTAAAATTTCTTGCCATGTCCTGGAATCCTTAGGCAAATACAGTGAGAGGGTTATGAGAAGCTTCTTTAAGCTAGGCTTGCAATGGTCCATCTAAAATTTCCAAAAATAAGTGCACAAGTGGCTCCTAAGTGGAACCGAAGGCCAAGTAGTTGCTGGTCACATTGCCTCATGTTGCCTCAGGGCAATCACAAGCACATACACAGGCTGGTAGGAGACTGCATTAAGAGCAGACCTGAGAAGAAAGACTTCACAGAATTGCAGAATCCTTAGCATTGGAAGGGACCTCTGGAGATCATCTGGTCCAAACTCCCTGCCAAGGCAGGGTCACCTAGAGCTGGTTACACAGGGTGGGGTTTAAATGTCACCAGACAGGGAGACTCCATGACCTCCCTGGACAACCTGTTCCAGTGCTCTGCCGCCCTCAGTGTATAAAAGTTCTGCCTCATGCTGAAGTGAAATTTTGTTTCTAGTTTACGGCCATTGCTCCATGTCCTGGGCACCATTGAAAAGAGTCTGGCACCATCCTCTTGGCACCTGCCTTTGAGATATTTATACCTCTTTCTTGTGCTGAGGAGCCCAGAACTGGACACAGCACTGCAGAGGTGGCCTCACCAGGGCTGAGGGGCAGGATCACCTCCCTTGACCTTCTGGCCACACTCTTCCCAATGCACCCCAGGATACTACTGGCCCTCCTGGCTGTAAGGGCATTGCCACCTCCCGGTCAGCTGGTCACCCACCAAGACTCCCAGGTCCTTCTCCAATAGGTCAAGCAGTGTGGCCAGCAGGGTGAGGAGGGGATTCTGCCCCTCTGCTCTGCTCTGATGAGACCCCCGCCTGGAGTGCTGTGTCTTGGTCTGGACCCCTAAGGAAAGAAGAACATAGAGTTCTTGGAGTGGATTCAGAGGAGGGCCACAACAATGACCAAAGGGCTGAAACACCTCTCCTGTGAAGACAGGCTGAGAGATCTGGAATTTTTCAGCCTGGAGAAGGTTCCAGGGAAACCTAATAGCAACTTTTCAGTATCTA